CTGCTCTGCCATTAATTCATACAAGCTCACTTGGTAGCTTATTTGTGGTTTCCTCTCCGTCTCTTTTGCCTTTAGTATGTTCTGTAAGTGTCAAATTCTCCAAGCCTGCTTTCCTCACTGCATGTTCCAGAAATTTCAACTGTCCTGTTCTGATTTTCAGTACGGGTGTCCTTTTTGCTAACATTTTCCTTCAGACTTCCTTATTGCTCACATGTTCTGCCTGTGACATTCTCAGCATCCTTTTCTAGAACCACATCTCTGTTGCCCCAAGTTACCTTTGAGGAAATTGTCCAGCATTTATTGCCATATAGGAGGACTGATATTACATGTTTTTCTTTGTTTCTATTGAAGACAAAGCATTGATATTAAGATTCACTTAGTCTGGCACTGGCCACAAGTGCAAGGCACCCATTATGGATCATATGTATTAATGGTGTATGACACTTGCTAACCATTCCTCCATGGTATAGTGGGCATTTATTAAAATATGTGGTCTATCATTAAATGAGATAATGAAAAATAATATTCAAGCAAAAAAATCTCTAGGATATAATAAAGACTACTGCACTGGAATTGCCAGGTAACCAAGACATATTTGGAAAAAATATTAGAATAATCCAGAACTTATACTGGCAGCAAAAAATAGAAAATGAAATTCAGTAAATATATAAAAATAAACAGAGGTGTTTAAAGCAACATCAATCGTCATCATCTGTCTTCTTGATTCCCGTTCATCTTTTATTCTTTACTCAATCCTCTCTATTCTCAATCTTTTTTACTTTCACTTCCTGTAAGGGAGTTGCTCTCAAGAAGTTGACTATCAGATATTCTAATGTGGGGCAGGGAAGGATCTCTATGGTGATTAATAGAGAGTAGTTTAGTTTTTATTTCACCTCCTACCAACCAGCAATGATTCAGGGCCACAGACCTGTTATGTGACTAGGAGGCATATGGACTAGTCCTATTACTCAATTATTACTCCTAATCAAGTACTCATTACCTGTATAAAAGACACTAGTTCACAGAATCTTTCAATGAATCAGAATCTAATCTCTCCACAATGGGCAAGATAAAAGAATTATCTAAGGACATCCAGGATAAAATTGTAGAACTGCACAAGACTGGAATGGGCTACAAGATGATTGGCAAGCAGCTAGGTGAGAAGGAGTCAACTGTTGGTGCAATAAGAAAATTGAAGAAACACCAATTGACTATCAATTTCCCTCAGTCTGGAGCTCCATGCAAGATCTCCCGACTATGAGTGAACCTGATGATGAGAAAGGTGAGGAAACAACCCAGAACTGTGCAACAAGAGGAGGGTTGGGAGAAAGTGCTGTGGCCAGAAGATACTAAAATTGAGTATTTTGGCATCAACTCAACTTGCCATATTTGGAGGAAAAAAAAAAAGCTGACTCAGACCCCAAGAACACCATCCCAACCATTAAGAATGGTGGTGGAAACAGTATGCTTTGGAGCTGTTTGTTTGCTAAAGGGACAGGATGACCACACTGGCTTGAGGGAAAGATGGATGGGGCCAAGTACAGGGAAATCTTCAGTGAAAAGCTCCTTGCCTCAACCAGGACACTGAAGATGTAGAATTACATTGGATGGACCTAATGGGTAGACTTGAGGGAAGTACTTGTGTGAATTGTATTTTCTTTGGTGGAAGACAGCCATAACAATACTCTTCATCATGGCATTGAGAGACCCCATCAGAGACTACTGCATGTTCCAGAAGCCATTCACAGAATCACAGTAAACAGCCCCAATATTATAGACCTACTGATTAGATAGCCTTCTTTGTAGTTACTCAAAGATTCGGATTCCTGTCTATCAGGTTGATAATGCCAAAAGCCAGAAATTGTTTACCTCTAGTACCCTTAATGAAAAGACAAACAAACTAGGAAATAAGATACAGACATGATACTCTGAGTTTACATGTCTCGTATACCCAGAAGTCAAGGCAAGAGAACACCTCCTTGGATCAGAAACATTTTACCAGCCAGAAACATAAGGTACCAATACAAGCTTGCTGATATATACGGGGACTAAAAGACCCACTGGGAGGAGGAGAGGTAATGAAGGTTGCTCAAGGGTGTATATGCATTGTCTACCCCTATTTGATTTAATATCATAGAAGCAATTTTACTTGGGTGGAGGAAAATTATCTATTTTTTTACAACCAAAGGTTTACAGATTTTTCAATTTGAACATTAACTTAGCAAGGTGACTAAACAATTAAATTTGATCTTTGATATTACAGCTGGGGCTGCAACAATCACCTCTATTTGGATTGATATTTTTTCTCCTCAACTTTAACAATGTAATGAAGTAAGTTTGAATGTCTCCCATTTAGAAAAAAAAAGAATTTGAACATAGAATTACAACTACACTTATCACAGTTACCAGGAAGGAGTTGCTTCACAAATTCATTAGAGCCAGATAATCAAGGGGAAGAACTACAGTACATAGGATAATATCATTCCAGTAATTAAATGGATCATTTGAAAGATAAATAGCTCAGATGGTTGAAGAGCTGAAAAGTAAATTAAGTCAAACATTCAACAGAAAAGAAATAAAAATAACCAAAATAAATTATCAATAAGAAGGTTGTTGAGCACTTAGATAAGAACAGCCTCCTGAATGATAAGCAGTATAGGTTTCGATCAGCCTGATCCACTGTCGATGTCCTAACTACCATTACTCACAGAATCAGTGGAGCACTAAACAACAAATAAATCCCAAGTATCATAGCATTAGATATTTTTAAGGTCTTTGACAAGGTGTGGCACAAAAGAGTGATGCTCAAGCTCGCTAGCTATGGAATCACTGGAAATGTATTCTCAATAATAAAGTCCTTCCTTACAGGGAGGTCCCTGAAGGTAGTTGTTAATGACCAGTCCTCCAGAGCCCTAGCAATCAATGCAAGCTTCCCCAGGGTCACTTAGCAGACCAACCTTCTTTTTACTTTATATAATTGATCTAAGAGTATACTCAGATCATTTGTGAATATTTATTCCAATGATACAATATATGGGTGCACCACCAAAACTCATGATGACCAGAGATTGACAGCTGATCTCTCCTCTGATCTAGCTCTAACATCTCGGTTGAAGTGGTGGGACTAGCTGGTTACATTCAATGTCTCGAAAACCAGACTAGTTACATTCTATGATTGCCAATAAGACCCTGATCTCCCAGCAGTAATGATAAATGGATATCCTCTCAGAAAAGACCTGTGCCTTCATCAACTATTTTAAACTGATCCCAGGCCTCAAGTGGAACTCATACATACAATCCATTCTAAAGATACAGAAAAAAATGGTTGGTCCCCTGTACCACTCCAGTAAGTACCTGATTCCTCCTGCTATCCTCTATTTTTACAAGAGCCAGATCAGGCTTAACATGGAGTACTGCTGTCATATTTGGACAGGAGCTACCCAGTTCACACATTTTAGTTTTTATAGAGTCTAAAAGCATCTCCATGTCCTTGTGAGTGACAAATCATTTTCCATGATGGGATGTAGCAAGCCTCTTACTGTTCTATCACTACTTCCTTGGAAAGTGCTTGGATGAACTACATTCCTTAGTTCTGCCAGTTCAAACCTTCATGGCTAGTACCCACCATGTTACTCATATCATAGTAAACCATCCACAGTCCATCTGTATTCCATTGGTTCTTCCCATGAACCATTGCTCTGTGGAACTAACTACCAAGTGGATGTTTCTCCAGTCACTACAATCTTAACCTGTTCAAGTCTAGGGTTAACCATCATCTTCCTCACATATCTGCACAAACTGTGATTCTTACTCTCCAAACCTCTACCTTGAGTGGCCCCCGAGCCTTGTACACGGTAAACTGCACTGTAAAAAGAAAAAAGCACTTGGTAGAAACTCAACTTTACTTAGAAGATAACAGAATAAAGTAGAGCATTGTTTTCTACCTTGTATTGTTGGTAGTAAAATTATAGTTCCCTTAAAATTGGATGTTGGTATTAAGATAAATGCATGGAATTTTTGTAAGTTCTTGGACAAGCTGATTTTTTTTGACTGGTACTGGTTATAACCAAGAAACTAAAGTTGACCATTGAATGTCTTGCTTACAAATGTTTTCAAACAGGTTACTACGCAGAAGCATTAAGCCAATCAGTATATTCATGTAAAGCAATGTTCTTTCCCAATCTATAAAGTTGTTGCCCATCTTGCCCAAAAATGGTTTCTGTTGTGGTGTCCTCTCTCTAAAGAGTCTATGTTAGACTCTTCCACCTACTATAATGTTAGTAAGACAGAAGGCTAGATTGAGCGCTAGTTCATTCAATACACTCTCACTAGTCATGTAATACTCTTCTGGTGTACTTACTGTGGGTTAAATAGTAGGACCCGTATCTGGAAAAAACCATGATCATTCTCAAAAAAATTGTTAATGCTATATTCACTAGCAAAAAAAGAATTATTCTTACAATAAAAAATGTTCTGACTTTAAATAATCCAGAAAGAGTTGATAAGTCATAAAAAAAAAAAACATAATAAAATCTGACATAGTGTATTTCTCCAAGCATGCCAAGACATTCTGCTGACCAATATATCTGACCAGTATATCTGGCAATAATGCAAACATGAATCATTTGTTGATGTCATGTTATAATCAATATACCTGAAGTTTTTATGAATTCCACGTCCTAGCATTTGTGAGCAGTTATGTAAATTGCTTATCAGTATTATTTAGGAGAAAAAAGATAGGGATGTTAGTCAGAGTAAACACAAGAAAGTAATTGCAAGAGTTCAGGAATTTTTACATAAATGTCATTGATAAGCTGCTAAAATCATTTGTCTTAATCACAATTCATCTAGTTTGTAAGCTGAAATGCAGCCATGTTTTGATGATATTCTGATAATAACAAGAGAGGCTTTTGTAATTTTCTCTCACTGTTGCCTTAGGTAATATTTTTTTGTCATTACTCCAGTTCCATAGGTTTATGTTTTCAAAATAATTAGAAAACAAAAGTATAAAAGAAGGTTTGAAGGAAATGGTAAAAAGAAAGAATTAATGATGGAAAGACTGCTGGGAATGAAAGAAAACCTGTAAGAAGGAAGAGAAGAAAAAGAGAGGAGGGTAAATGATAATGAAAAAAGGAAAACATAAATGAAACTAACAAAAAGGTGAATTAAAAGCAAGTAAGAAATATGGTAAAGAATGAATGAAATATAATAACAATGAAAAAAACAAGAAGAAATAGAGAGAATGAAAAGCAAGAATAAATGTAAGAATGAATAAAAAAGAAAACAAAAAATAAGACAGTGAGTGAAAAAGAAGAAAGATGAAAAATTAATGAAAGACGAGATAATTGCAAAGAAAGAATGAAAACAAATGAAGGAAAAAAATGAATAAAAGTAGTTTGAGTAAAAAACAAGATGACTTAATTATGAATGAGAAATAAAAATAAAGAAGAAATAAAAAAGAACAAATAGTGAAGATTGAATGAAGAAGTTGAAATGATAAAGAATGAAGGAAAATGAAAAAATAATCATAAAGAATAAATGAAAAACAAGAAGTAAAAAATGAAAAGCAAAAAGAAATAAAGACAAAGAATGAATGAAAAAGAAATGAAGGCAGTCTGATTAAAAAAAAACAAGAAAGATGAAGAATTAATGAAAATGAGAAATAAAAACAATGAATGAAAAAATGAAAAATAAAGACAATGAAAGATAAGCCAGTAGAAATAATGGCAAAGACAGACTGAAAAACAAAATTAATTATGAAGAATAAGTGAAAAAACAAGAAGAAATAAAGATATAAACATGTTGAAAGAAAGACAAAAAGAAATGAAGAAGTAAGAAAGCAGAAAAGAGAATGAAAAAGAAATTAATTGATTATGAACAAACAGATAAAAAAAAAAAAATGAGTAGAAGAAAAGCAAAAAGTAAAAAATTGGCCATAGTGAGCAATTAAAAATGACAGATATGAAAATGAAATTATGAGTAAAAGGGAAAATGACTAAGTTTTAGAACAAATTAGAGAAAGAAAATAAACAGTAAAGAAATGAAACTTATACTTTTTTAAGAACATAATGATAAGCTAGACCAATGTTCAAGTAATTACTTTTCTTCTCTTGGTGATGCAGATGCAATGCTTACATTGTTTGCAGCCGGTCACCGTGTACAGATCTGCAAAACCCTAAAATGTTGTGGCAGCCATTTATGGTCTAGTAAGTGGAAGCAGAATATAAAACAAGTATTTTTATCCATGAAATAATTTTTTGGGGCTGGTCAACTGAGATCAAAATATTCAATATACAAAGCTTTCTTCTAAATTATTGATCTCTTGTTTGTATTTCTTATCCCTTTTTCCTTAGCATTTTTGTTCTCTCGCCTCCTCCTTTCAATCTGCCATTTTCTTCTCGTTTTCTATTTATTTCTTCTTTTTTCCCCATATTCATGTCTTCTTTTATAATTTCTTTAACTCTTTCTTGAGTTCCTTTGTCTCTTTCTTTCTATTTTTCTTATACACTTATCTGTCTTTCCTCTATTACTTCTTGCAATTCACTAATCTTTTTTTTCTTATATAGTCTTTTCTTCTATTCTATATATTTCTTCCTCTTCTTTCTTAGACACTTATCTGTCCTTTCTCTATTACTTACTCACTAATCTTTTTTGTTTCTCATCATTCTGCTTCTCTTATATCTTCATATAGTTTTTCTTCTTTTTTAATCCTTACTCTTCTTATACATTTATCTGTCCTTTCTCTATTCTTACAACAACCTAATCATTTCTTTTTTTGTTTCTTATTCTGCTTCTCCCATTATCTTCATATACTTTGTCTTCTTTTTAATCCTTCCTCTTCTTTCTTATACATTTATCTGTCCTTTCTCTCTTATTACAATTCATTAATCATTTCTTTTGTTTCTTATCATTCTGCTTCTCCTATATCTTCATATGCTTACTCTTTTTAGTCTTTCCTTTTTTTATAAAGTCCTCTGTTCTTTCTCTGCTACGTTCTACCATTCAGTAATTCTTTCTTTTTTTAGTTTCTTACCATTCTACTTCTTTTATATCTTTATCTATTTTCTCCTCTTTTTAATTCTTCTCTTTTTCAGAAACTTCTTCTCAGGTATTTTTGGTTTAATTTTTTCTTCATTTTTCACCTTTTCATTCTCCATAATCGTTTAGTGTATTTTTTTCTCCTTTTGAAAATGGTTTCCTCCTTGGCTTTCCACTATTTTACTTCCTACTTACTATTTTTAAAATAATTCATTTAAAATTTTTCTTTTCCATTGCTTTCATCTCTTTGACTCTGAGGTCTCATTCTTCTTTTTCTTCCCTTTCTTCCTTCATCTGACTCCTACTCTCTTTTATTCTTTGGATTAAAGAATAAAATCACAGTACAAATACACCATATCAATTTTTAAAAAATAATTCAAAGAAATAAAAGATTAAAAATATCATAAATGATTTTGAAAAAAATCTCCTGATCTTTTCCTCTCCCAAAGGTTACCTTTTCTTGGTTTATTTTTATATTATAATATTTACCTTTTGCATTGATCTCATAGGTCACTATAAGGGTCATGACATACTTTTGGTAGTTTATGCTTCTGGAGCCAGTATCACTGGAACAGTGAGAAACAGAAAGTTTTCTCTTATCCTTTTGCATAGTATTCTTAATTTTCTTGATGGTATAAAGAAGAAAGAGTGGAAGAAAGTGAAAAAAAAACAAGAAGCAGAAAAATAGCGATGAAAATATAAAGAGGAGATAAGAAAATGAAGAAACTGTTAAAAAAGAAGAGGAAAACAGTAAAAAAGAGAAAACTGAATGAAGAATATTTAAAAAGGATGAAATGAAAAACAAACTTTTTTTATAACCACTTTTGTTTGTTCATTTTTTTTTATTTTATTTGGTTTTCTTTCAATACTGATTAAACCATCTGCATCCATTTCAGACAATCTGTTGCACATGTCTTTTGATTTATGCTTGTTTCATGTCTTTAGCAGCAGCAATGACAGCAAAGGTAGCAGAAGTGGAACAGAAGCGGAAGGAACAAAGCAATAATGGGCAGCCATCTTGTTTGAGTCATTCTTTTGCCCTTTCTTCTGAGTATCCCAATCCCTTCCACTGCCTAGATCCCAATCAGCTGCTCATCTTCCACCAATAATGCAACTGAACTTTTACTTACATATTTGCTTACATATATATTTGAAGGAGAAAATAAACTGACAAGTAAGTAAAGATAACATTTATTTTTTTACTATACTTCAGTCTGACATAAGAGATTTTTTTCATCTTCCTTTATTTTTAACTGTTTTTCTACTATTTTTAGAGTATATTCTTTAAAGTATAATTTTTGAATTTGGTTTGTAAATAAAATAGTATTTATGAAATATGAATATATCAAAGTTTTAACTAATCTTAAATTTAGCATTCAAATTCAATCATGGAAGCAGGGATGGATTTATGGATTTTATTTCTCCAATCTTATGCAAGGACATTCTGTGTTCATTTAAAATTGTAGAAATAAACCCAGTTATGTCACTAATACCAAGAAACCCAGTACTATCTGTTGCTTTAGGTCAATGGCAACTAAACCAGTTCTCCCATTAAAAATTTCTGAGGAAGGTGGTTTGACCCACTGCAGATTATGAATAAGATCTGTCAAAGGGCTGATAAACCTTTTTGTAGTTTTCAATGGCTACCTAGCACAGTGGATAGAGTGAGTTTCATAGCTATGCATGCAGTCAATGACATGGAATCACTTGGTAGAAGCCTTTCTACACTGAAGTCAACAGCCAGTTCGAGGACATAGACTTTAGTTTGAGCTAGAAAATGATGGGTTCTGTCAGGTCTATTTGCTCAAGACATACTATACATAAAAGATTACCTTACTGGATTTCAAGCCAGATATGTGTGTAGGAAGCAGATTACATGTTCAGTTGCATGGAAACCCTAAAACCATGCTTGGTTATGGGAATTATGATAATAATATTTCCATAGATAATTTTAAACCAAATTAGAAGACTATGTATTTGTTCTGTTTATCATTCTCAACTAGGATTGCTCATGAGTTGAAAAGTATTTTTGATGCAGCATCAAAATAAAAAAAATAGCATAGGCTCCATCATCTTTTTTTTGTATTTTTTGTTTATTCTGGTTTATTCTCTCTTGATCTGACAATTGAAAAGTGGAACTTACCAAGAAAGTTAATAATGATCTTCAAAGCACTTTACATTCTACATTGCCAGAGTAATAAGATCAAATATTTACAAACTGACAACTTCAAATACCTTTGCCATTTGTGGCTCTAATTGTCAATTTGCATTGGTGTTCATATCTTCCGATATTCCATTCCAAATATGAAATTGTATGGCTCAAATAAATCAAGAGAGAAAAGGTCAAAACTTCTTTGGAAAAGGTTTATCTCTTTTTATGGAATATTTCGAAAATGTATGATGTCCATATTGTATGAATGACTACATTTAGTTCAGAATTACTCCATTAGTATTTATAACCACCTAGTCTTTGCATAATTGTTAATTCTTTTTAATTATGAAGTTTATAATAGCAAAATGATATAGGTAAACTAACAGATTTAAAAAAAAATTTTTGTCTCTTCATGAGATAGGCAATGATGACTCTCCACAGTTTCATTATTATTTTTGAATTACCATTATTTCTTAGGAAAAAACAGTGTTTCCCATTGCCTTTTCCATGATTTTGAAATCAGAGTTGTCCTAGACAGGCTGCTAACCAAGTTTAGAGAGTCCAGTCTACATTACTATTTAACAAATAGGTGGGACAAAAGGAATGGATTCATGCTTTCCTCAAAGGCATTTGTTCAACCACCCTGGAATGGGAAGGGTGCCACCATGTTTACTTTGCTCAAGATGTGAAGAGAGTGGGTTAAATTCTCAGGTGTGCAGTGACACTAAAACCACACCTAGTCGTGGGACTAATGATGATGATGAATGCTACTAAATCTATTTTTTATACCTAGAACCATTAGGTTAATTACACATCCTTTAACAGTACCATTGGAGAAAAAATGCACAAAAATAGTCATTGATAAGATTAATATATAAAGCCTTAAATAAGACTCATAAAACATATCAGGATATGTGTCTTCATTTGACTTAGCCCTTTAGTGTTGACAACAGAATTACCATGATGAGAGGCCAAAGAAACAGACGGATGAATGTAGGTAATAATTGTCATGGCAACTAATAGTTACTAATAACTAGTAAATGTCAGGTCAAGGTATGTGACCATCATATTTTTAACAATGTTATGATGTCTGTTGTATTCCTGCCCCCTGACGATAATCACAGGTGGTGAGATTTTAAATTACTGCCCACTGCCAATAATTACAGGCAGTGCATGATTTGAAAGAATCTCTCACTTTTGTTGGTGACTTTCATAGCAAAAACAGATATTCTTCTTGTTTCTGTTGGCATGTAAGTACCCCAGCTCTTGCTTTGAACTCTTCACATTTAATTTCATTTCTCATTTTTCCTTTTTGTAAAATGTCCTATCAATATAGTTGTTAATATTTATTTGTTTAAATTCTATGTCTGGTGTCTTATTTTTGTGTGAACTCACATAAGTCTACCAATATTGTTGGCAGGTTAAATGTACCAGGAGCATTAAAAACACCTTAAAAGATGTTATACCAGCAACATGTCTTGTGCTTTGTTTGTAAGCTACTATGGACTAGGTCAAGCTCAGTCAACTCCTTGAATGTATATCAATTTAACAATCTTGTTCGGGCTGTAGCTTTAGATATCTTGACAGTGTTTGAAAGGGTTTGAGATGCTGGTGTTCTTCATAAGCTGAAGGGCTATAGTGTCTCTGGCTGAATTTCTGACTGGGTTTAATCTTTCTTAACAAATCATGTAATGAATGTAGTCTGAAAGGATTACTTAATCTTTTTGCATTAATGCTGATGTCTACCTGGGCTCTATCTTTAGATCTACTTTGTTTTTTTTATTTTCATCAATGATCTTCCTGATGTCATTATTTCCCAATTTTGTATCTATGCTGATGACATAACTATTTACTCTTGTCTCAGTAGTATATTTGAG